CCACTCGGTGGACTGCTCCACTAGTATCCTCAAAGTTGCAATCTGATCTGTACATGATCTCTTTTTACGAAATCCTGCCTGCTCCTCTCTAAGAGAGGCAAGATTACTGGAAGTCATTTATTTTAGTGATCCTGTGTATGCATCCAAAGAGCGGTTTTTAATATAGGGCCCAAAGAGAAAAACTTTTGTATTACTGGGTCAAGATTTTTGGACACATTTTTTGTTTGGTTGCTGGCTTGCAGAGACATGCCGTGCAAAGTTTTGTTGGCATAGATCTAGTTCATTCTTCAATAGGATAAAACATTTTAACACGGTCAGACGAAAGTGAACAAGCTATAGGCGCTTCACTGTCACGCGCAGGACACCCGAGTTCTATCCCCGTGGGGGGGGGGGGGAGAGAAAATGTTTCTCTGTCTGCTTGGATGTACAATGTATCCCTCAAGGTCCAGTGTTGTCGAGACAGACATAGATCTAGTCGACGCCCACCTCCTAGGAAATGTCGAGAGGGATGTAAAAACACCCACATTCAGATATCTGGAGTAACCAATCTACAACAACAGCCACAGCTATCCCGACAACGATGAAACAGCAGCAACAACACGAATAACAACAATAACAAAAACAACATTTCTCCTCACCTCATAGAGAGGGTCCCCCCTCCTCTCTCCCTCCTCACCTCATAGAGAGGGTCTCCCCTCCTCACCTCCTCCCTCCCTCCTCATCTCATACAGAGGGTCCCTTTCCTCCTCCTCCCTCTCCCTCTCTCCCCCCAGGGTGTGAGAATGGCGGAGTGTGTCACCCAGTCAACGCCACCTTCACAATAGCCTGTCACAGGTACACTTGTCACAAGACTCTACTGTCGCCTGGACAGGTCTCTCTGGGCATACAGTTGTCGCAGATACGTGAGTGTGGCTTCTGCTGTTTCTGCATAGTAAGATACTATAAAGATAAGATAAGATAAGATAAGATGAGATGAGATGAGAAGAGATGAGATGAGATGAGAAGAGATGAGATGAGATGAGATGAGATTAGATGAGATGAGATAAGATAAGGCAAGAACAAACAATACAACAAAGGATAAGATAAGATAAGATAAGATAAGATAAGATAAGA